AGCGAAGGGGCCGAGCTGTCATTGTGCTGAGGCAGGCACCTGTCAGCCACATTTTAGATGCATATTATGTCCTGCATTAGCTTATATATGAACGCTCGTGTTTGTGGATAACTGCCTTTGTGTGGCGCACGTATGGCGAGTGCATGTGTGCGTACACAGTAAAGCGAGTGTCAGCAACGCACCGTGCTGTATATCAGCGCATGCAGCACCATTAGATCTTTCTATGACATCTGATTTACACGGGCTGTCAGGGCTCCGTGGAGCTGTCTTCTCTTACTGGAATAACCTACACCTCAAGCGCGCGGAGACAAAGACTGCTGCAGTGGACCAGCTCAGCACAAACGATACAAACTTTTTTGTTGGTTTTACGCATTAGTTTGAAGCGTAATATTAGGTAAGAATCAAGTCGGTCACATATTGTATACATTAGAATCTGAAGTTGTTGTTTTTATTTCTCCAAATTCTGTAAAACACAATTAATCAGAACAAAAAACTAAAACAGAACGTCAGATCGGAAGAAAACACTAATATTCAAAAACAATAAAGCAGAACTAGCCTGGTTGTACCACACCATAGTACAAATTACATTTCGTACAAAGGTCTGGATTTGCTCCATTGACTCCGTGAACAGGTGGGAGGGGTTAACTCCTTTTGCAGATTGAAACGATTGGATCTGAGTTTACCGTGACGTATGTAGTGCGCCCGAGTGAGTCGTTAGCATTTAGCATTTAGCCTAGCTTTATCCATCTCCTTAGCCGCTAACGTAGCCCGTGGGGAGTAGGACCACAATTTCTTCCTATCGATTACATTTGCTAAACATTCCTCTTGCCCCGGCTTCAATTTCTTGATAGAACCAGACCGGATTACTTCACTATCGCATTCTTTGCCATTGCCAAACAACAACCAATCCCGTTCGACGCAAACTCTTGACGTCACCCACTAACTATCACTCTCCTTCCGCCCGCTCTGATTGGTCGGTCGAAATTCAACCGATCGTAATCTCTAACACACGGACCAGACCCAGACGTTACATGCAGTGAAATGATGATTGAGCGGAGAGTACGGATGGATAAGACCAGGCTAAAGCACAACTGTAACACAATAAAAGATCTTATGGTATAATAAAAAAACAACACACACACTCAAGACAAGACAAGACACAGGCCTAAACATTGGCTGACCCTACACCTCTCTCCCACAATTCGCATCAATCTCTCTCCCCTCAAATAAGATCTTATTATGAGATCGCTTTGCTGTGATTACATTTCAGTTAGACAAAAGATGCTTTCAATGAACGTGCATGTTTTGAGAAGCCGTCGTTTCGCTTAAGAAGTGCTGCAAAAAGTTTTTCTGAAGACAAACTGTTCGAAGACTTGTGGACTAATGACTCAGGCTCATGACTTTCTTGTGCAGCTCATATTATGTTTAGGAGCACTAAAAAGAAGTTTTAGTCCAATAAAACATGGTGTCATAGCTCCATTATACCATGGTTTAACACCTTGAGATTCTTGAGATTTATAATTACGTCCCAATTGGAATACATTTAATTAACCATCATGCAATATTGATCTTTTTGTGGTGATGTAGATTGGGAACACGGGGAAAACATCAGAAAAAAAATCAGATTGCATATTATCTTATGATATCTGTTTTAATTGTCTTGCTGCCACTTGGTTGGAAAGGTGCTGGAGCCCCGAGGTTGTGTCTTGTTGGATCAGGGCCGTGCCATTGCCATGTGAGGGAGTAGAGGTGTGTGGAGCCTGCTGTTTGTGTATCCTTGCTGTAAGGATAATGATGTGATGAATGGAGAAAGGAGAGAGAGGCGCATTTCAAGGCTAATGCCCGGGGGGATGTCAGACAAACCTGTGTATGTGTAATAACCACAGAGGTTAAAATGCTACAACGGCACCACAGACTCCTGCCAAATATTTTGACATCCTCCTCCACACAGCTGCTGTTCAGGTAAAGCAGGCGGAGATTGGATTAGGGCGAGTCTGATGAGGAAGCCGCAGAGCAGAGTGGGCACTGGGAGAGGTGTTGATGTTTGCAGACACTCTTAGATCTACCCGTCCGTCCGTCTCTCCTGATTCTTCTCTCAGCGCTCTGGGCCTGAGTGCGTGTCCATGCTGCCATTTGTTTCAAGGTTGTTCTAAATGTGACTGATGTGCTCAGTTTGGCTTTACTCTCCGTCAAACGACATGCTACATGCACAAGCTGTGCAAAATTCGTTATAGACTTTATTAAATCTTTTCAAAATAAAAACCTTGTCAAAGGTACCATCAATACAGACATGAAAATTATTATCTATAACATGGGGATACTCTCTATAACATGCACTCTCGTTAAATAACATGGGGATACTCTCTTTAAATAACATGGGGACACTCTCTTTAAATAACATGGGGACACTCTCTTTAAATAACATGGGGACACTCTCTTTAAATAACATGGGGACACTCTCTTTAAATAACATGGGGACACTCTCTTTAACCCTTTAAGGATCACCCAATTTCGCCTGCTCCTTCTCGAATTATGATACCCAAATGGAAATGCTTATTGTGTGGACATCTTGTGTCTGATTTTGTGTTATGAGGCCTCATTTGAAAGGTAACACCTTCTAGTTTCTGAAAATGTATGTTACAGTTTGTTAGGAAGGACACAGTCTGCACTACAGCTTCTCAAACATGAGTCAAAGTTAGTTTTTTTTGTCAAAAAAAATAAAAGGCAATTTCAAAAGGTTCTCCTGAAGACATACTTTATGGTATGATGTTCAAACTCACCAGAGCAGATGTTTGTGGTGTTGGAAACACCTATATGAAATTTTAGACCTTTAGGTGGAACTATTTTGATGCTGGGGGCTTTTTTGTAACTAATGGGCACATTCGGCACAAGTGGTCCATTTTTGTGCCAACTGTGCCAAAGTGTTTTACATGCAAATTATCAATGTTTTTACATCAAAAATCCATTTATATAATTTTTTGGCTATTACTCTTGCTATAAATAGCATTTTTTCCAGTTATTGAAAGGTTTGCAGAAAAGCTATTATTTATATAGTTATAGCGCGTGTTCTCCGTGAAAAAGGCTCCGTCTTCCTCTTTACGCATTCAAATATGACGGGAACAGTGGGAGGAAGCTAGAAGTCCGACACATCGCCTGAAACCTGAGATTATTGGCTACAAGATGATTTGATTGACATCCAAATCGGCCAATGGTAGTCAAGACAATGCTGTCGTGACGCACAGATATCTATATGACTGGAGCGCTAAAGCTAGGTGCGCTTGTTTTACTCAACTTACTCTACCTTCCAAACCATAGCACTGAAAAGTCCGGGAATGGGCTTGTTTTGAAGGGAAGACTGAGTGGAAGACGAACATACCCAGTGACGCTAGGTAAACAGTAAAATGTCCTCTTCATACAGTGCGCAAAGAACAGGTTTTGTTTTTGTTTGTGCAACTTTCAATACTCAAATATGTTGTTACAAGTGGATATCTACTATAAGGATGACTTTGAAAAAAAAACAACTGGATATAATTATTCTCTAGACCCTAAAGAACAAAACGAATGCACACATGTGTGGATTAGACGTGATTTGTCCCAGAATATTAGCATGACAAGGTAAGAAAGGACAATATATATTTTAAATATATATACAGTTAGACTACTTATTCTTAATTTTGGTTATATTTAATGTTTATTTGAACATAATACGCGTTTAGAGGTGGGAATAAGCTTTCAAAAGAGATATAGCTTGACTATATTGACACAAGTGAATTCTAATACTGATGCTGTTAAATGAAAAATAACTGAATCCTCCCTGTACAGGGAGGGTGATCCTTAAGAGGAACATGGGGACACTCTCTTTAAATAACATGGGGACTATCTTTGACCAAAAATACATGAAAACGAGTGACAAGATATTTTATAACATAGTTTAAAAAAACTTCTCTAGTCACTCTTGTTTTGTTGTTTCAAAGATCAGTACTCCAGCTTTATTGACTTAACTTTTAAATGTGAGCAAATTTTTACCGTTCATAAAAGTAAGCTGCTCTTACTTAAAGACAGATGTGGTTTTTAAGGTGTGTATTTAGAGAAAACCTTGTTTGGCAAGACAATCTTTGAGTCATCAGAACTAAATATAAATATTGTTTCTATTGTAAATTAATGTCCATTGATTCACATACACATGCATTTGTACATTGTCTTCTAAACAGCAGTGTATGTATCTCACATGCTCTTAAAGGCTGTCAGCAGGACACTTGATGCACTGTATATTACGATCTGAAATAGGAGGAAATTACATGTATGTGCCTGTTTGTATGTGTGATACATGGAGCACCCCCCAGGGGCTGCACGTATAGATTGTGTCTCTCATCTTCTTTTTATTCTGGTGTGTATGGATAAATAACTCCTGTTCCCTTTAGATTAGCTGTGACCTTTCCACCTCTCTATATGCACCTAGCCCCTTACAATCCCTGTTGCAGGAATGCATTGTGAATCCTTCACCGTATAATGTCAGCTTCATTGATTGACCATCGTAGCCCAAAATAACAGACATCTAAAATGAGAGAGGCCGAGAGCTGCGGTCGTATTGGACCTCTCATATCATAAAAATTATAATTTATTTAACTCATTTAAAATAATACACCCTTCCACATTAACATCCATAAACATCCCCACCTAAAACAATTCAACATCATTTAACCACCAAATCAATCAAAAATCAACTTCCATAAAACTCTATTCATTACCCAACACTATTTCTAAACTCATTAACAATAACACCAATCCCCCCCATAATAACCAACCAAAAACCCACACCAATCAAATAAACAACTACCATAACACCACAAAACACCCAAATCCAAAATAACCACCCACTTCCAACTCATATCTCCACATTCAATCTCACTACACCCAAACCAACCAAACACCCCACAAAACCACCATCCACAAACAAACACACCAACCAATAATAAAATCACCAAACAACCACCCCCTCCTCAACCCCCAACAAATAACCACCAACCCCCCACCAAACAACACACAAAAAAACCAACCCCCCAACCACACCCCACAACCCCACCCCCCCAACCAAAAAAACCCACAAACACCCACCCACACCAACCACAAACACCACCAACCAACACCCCACACCCCCCCCCACCCCCCCAACACACACCCCCCCCCCCCCAACCCCACCCCACACCCCACCCCACCCCCCCCCCCCACCCCACACACACCCCCCCCAACCCCCCCCCCCCCCCACCCCCACCACCCACCCACCCACACCCACCCCCCAACCACCACCCCCACCCCCCCACACCCCCCCCACACCCCCCCACCCCCCAACCCAACCCACCCACCAAACCCCAAACCCCACAACCCCCCCCCCACAAAAAAACACCACCCAAAAACCCCCCCACAACACACACCACCACCACCACAACCCCAACCCACCCCCCAACCCCCCCAAACCAACAAACACACCACCCCAAACCCCCAAACCCAACCCCCACACCCCAACAACCCCACACCCCCCCCACAACCACCCCCCCTAATCAAAACACTCTTTCTTTCTAATATATATACACCCTCTCTACAACACTCCTCACCCATACATACTAACTGTCTGTGTTAAGAGTTTTAACACTTAAACACCCTCCCCCCCACACACATCAAATTAGCACATCATATCACTATAGCTTCTAATGGATTTGAAAAACTCCCTCTCTCAATTAGTAAGTCTTAGCTCGTCTTATAGATGATTTTGTATAGTGAGATAGATCTATGTCTCCTCACAATGTCACTTGTGTGTATTATTCATATTTTCTATCTAACTAACATATATTTTCCCTCCCTCCTTACTCTCTACACACAACCCTAAAAGATATAGTCTCACACCACCATCCATACAGATATATAGAACTATCTAATTTTGATTTACTCTCAGAGAACTAAGACGAGAGCACATAGATACTCAATTATTTTATTTCTTGAGAGTACTCTTATTTAATATAACTCAAAAAAACACACACCCCCCCCCCATCACATAAATCTATTACTATTTTTATAATAATTCACAAAACCTTACTAATACAAATACCCCAACTCTTCACTAAATTTAATATATAAAAATTTATAAATAAATCTTATACTTCTTTACACCACTATAAACAATTGACTCCCCCCACCCCCCCCCCCCCCCCCCTTATAAACTGCAAATCCATCTATTCCCCCCCACTTTTTTATTTTTTCCCAAAATTATATAATCCCTTTCTCTATTCCCCCCCCCCCCCTCTATATCCCCCCCCTCCCCCCCCCCCCCCCCCCCCCCCCCCCCCCCCCCTATATTAATTTCCAACTCCACCCCTATCTTTAATTTACCTTGGTAGCCCCCCCCCCTATATATATTCAGACTACTGTTATCCTTAAATGCAGTGAAGTTTGTCCCTGTATCCCCCCCCCCCTATGGTTCTCAGGTGGGACTTCGAGCTAGCCTGATACATGATTCATCGTTAGCGGTTTTGTGAAGCCATGTCAAATAAACATGTTTTCCATTTTTGAAATGATAAAATTATTGAGCCGCTCTGAAGAAATCTCAAATGTGCAGTTCATGCAAAGTAGCCCAGGAATTTACAGGAACTGGGGGCATTGTGCCAGAAAGAATGAGCAGCTTTACCATCAGAGAGTACATGTCTATAGATGCTGGGCAACAAACGAAACAGCAACTAAAAAACTTATATTTTTATGATTATAATTTGATCATTAAAATAGCACTGCCTGTTGCTCTTCAATCTATTCTAGTCTAGATTTGCAAACTGTTTTATATTTCAAACAACCAGACATGCCAAACCCAAGTCGCACCTGAGCAGCCTTACCCAGAGTCATGGCTCTAGAGATAGCCTCGGGCATGAATCCAAATGCAACCTGATATAGATCCCTGATGATAACATGAGTATTGTCATTCTTGTCTTTACCACAAAGTGCACTGTCAATGCTACATGCCTTCTCCAGAGTTCAATAATAGCAAATGTCATCGACTTGACTTTACATGACAGTAATTATCAGGAAGGTTGGCTGCAATAGAGGACAAAGTTAGCTGGCACAATGTAAAAAAACAAAAAAAGATAAAAAAAAGTTGAAGCCTTGTGCACTGGGATGCCTGCTCATCACTTTTTCCTCTCTCCTTGCATATTCAACTGAAGCTCCATTTTCTTCTACCTCCTTTACTCGTCTCCCCAGCTCCTCTCTAATGTATGGAGTAATAACTTGCTCATTATTGGATGTAAGAAATATCTACTAAGAGATTATGCCAGATATAAAAAGCTCACAGGTGATGGGAGTCAGAACCTCTGTGCATCCCTAATGAGGCCCGGGGATTGCTCTTCTACACCATCCGCCGAGACTGCTTTCTCAATCGGGGCCTGCGCATAGGCCTAAGTCAGCTTAGAGTTAGACAGTGCGGCCCAGAACAGCCTGGTGCGGCTCTCTTCCCCACAGCTTGACCTTGGTTGGGCTAATTAATGTATTTACAGCAAGTAAATGTACTCCACTGTCTGTCAGGAGGTCTTGGGAGTTTTGTCAGGCTCCAGTGTTATGTTTGCCCCTTTTTGCCCCCGAGATATCCTCTTATGCGCACCTTGCTTGCTCAATGTAATAGAAAAACACGCTCAAACCTTTGCATATGTGAATGCACCGAGGAGCCTATTAATGCATCAGCTGTTTGCATAATTATCATTACGCAGGTTATCTCCATGCCCCTGTTTTCTTTATGACGCTATGTTCTTTGCACATCCCCTGTTAAATCTCTAGGCTCTCTAGGTATTTCAATGTTCCCTGTTGATGGCTTAAAAAACAAAAACTTTAAAGCAGATTAGTAATATCTGCTGCTGCTATGACAACAAGTACATTTTCAAATTTAGGCAAATATAATCATACAACATTTTGTTTACGTTATCAGATTTTTGGACAGGTTCAACTGCAACAGCACAAGTCATGGCATTTCTCAGGGGAACATACCATGCTTCCTGAGAAGTTTTTCTTTTGCATTTTGTTTGAAATTTCAGATTACCATTAATAGTGACCAGTTTTTGTGATTTAAAAATCACAAAAAACAAATTAGTACGTTTGAGCACCTTACTGAATTAGGAAGTATTGGATACTGTTGCTAATCTGACCAAAAACCTAATACTAACTTGATTAACTTATGCTTCTTTATTCATACACATGTCTTGGCATTGGTCCAATTTGCATGAGCTGCTGAAGCTGTCACAGTCAGATCCACACCAGTGTGCGGGAACTGGACACATGCATACATACATATATACTTGACCACAGAAACTTCATCCATTTTCAACAAGATTTCTAAAGCATATTCAAATGCATGGCAGTAAGTTGAGGGGCAAGCATCACGAGCACAAGTGACAGCCAGGGAAGTGAAAGGTGGAACAAGTTCGACCAGTGCAAGAACAGCGAAGGGCAGAATGTTTGAATCATTTAAAACTCCAGAGACGAGGATCTGTTACAGCGGCCAATGGCAACAGCAGGGTCTGTCTGTGGGAGCCTTGGGCCAACTCACCTCCAGTCAGTCTCTGCTATCTCTGCTTAAAACTAATTGGAATATAGGAGAAAGATGGGTAACAGAGGTGTTGGACTATGTAATAAAATGTGGGGAGTAACAAAGCAAGACGAATGAGTGCAAAAAGTGGTTTCATTTCTTAAGGCGTAATACATTCTTGCCCTAATTTCTGCTCTGAGTCACCGCACTACAGTCAGAATCCTCTTTTTTTAACTTACTTTTTTCTGGCAGGCTTTATTTGGTGTTTGTTACCCTCTGCCCTTAGGGGACGATTAAATGTCACTCCTCGGGAAGGGAAGAAGAAAGACAACTTCACCTAACTTCGGAAGAACCTTTAAAGGTCACGCATGGCACAGGCTACAACACTGGCTCCAGAAACATCCGCTTCCAAATGTACCTCCAACAAATGGGTCAAAAGTGAAGGAAATGTAAGCTTTGACACAACCTCAGTCAACCGCTTTCCGAAGGCTCTCCCGGTGGGACGAGGAAGAAAGGTTGCAGAATAGTGGTTGTATTTTGCGCTTGATGCTTCAGATATGGTGGTTGATGTTTTTATTAAAAGAGCTGGGAGATTGCTGTGGAAAATGCTCATTCGTACTGTTGGGAATAATTACTAGACCATGAAAGTGAAAATTAGGTGCTCTTCATAGTAGCGCTCAGTGAAGGAAGTACAGTATGTGATTTATTGAATTTTGATTGAAGCAGATGGAATCATGTTGGGTGGTATCGGATAATTGCTTGTCGACTAATATAATTGAGCGTCATCCAATATTTCAACTCTTTCAAACACTTTGTCTAATATCTTTTTCAAACTGAGCATTCTTATTGCACTATTAGCACTGCTATTATTACTACTATTATTATTATTGCTACTAAAGACAATTACCAAAGATGCAGATATGAATCTTTTTTTGTAAATATCTTGTACTACTACTACTACATGGCAAACAGCAATGGTATTATTGTATCAAATACATTCAGATGAATTATTTTAAGTATTTCGAAACACTATATTCAGTGTCTTTTATTCTTCCCCTGGATTAAAAATAAACAATGGATAGTCATCTAATACAGAAGAGAAGCAATCAACCTCGTGCAAACCAACAAATGCAAAGTGACACCAAGTCTGTCATCAGTTTTGTATTTTATGATAAATAAATGATGCAGAATTAGATTTGTCTCTGGATTCTGCTCTGGTGGCAAAACCGCATGTGCGGTTCCAGTAGGCGGGTCAAAACTAATTACTACTAGGGGCAATACTTCTGTTGTAAAAGGCAGAAAACATTGCAGTGTAAGGATTTATGATGAATGGCATGTTCAAATACTATTGTAACTCCCAGGGCCATATTTACATGACAAAAAACAATAACAACTTTGCAGATGACTCAATATCTATGCACGGCGCACCTGGGAAGATCAGCGGACAGGTTCCTGCGGCACACCTCTTTTTTATCACAATATCTGACACTCTGTTTGATATTCATATATGTGCTTCCAAAGTGTTGTTTCAAACTGATGGGGATTTAAGATAAGAGTTCCTTTATTCGTCCCACAGTGGGGAAATGTATGTTCATGTGGCCGTATAAAAATATGGTTAGTTTCACAAAACTAACCATCTTTAGTTTTGTAGAGCTATCCACTCAGTGGCACGGTGGCTGAGTGGATAGCACTCTCGCTTCTCAGCAAGAAGGTACTGGGTTCGAATTCCGGTTGGAACAGGGCCTTTTTGAGTGGAGTTTGCATGTTCTCCCTGTGTCTGCGCCTCCGGGTGCTACCACTAAAAACATGTCAAATACGTCTGGCATGCGCCTCCTGTACAGGCGGCCCTGCTCCCATCTCTGTGTGGAGTGAGAGACAAATGCCCATAATTGTAAACCACTTTGTGACTCTGGTCTGTGAAAGGCGGTAAGATTACTTACTTACTTACTACTTACTACTTACAAAAAATACAGTCCAAGTTTCAGAGATACCATCACTTCAAACTCCCGTCTCCCCTCTCTTCTTAAAGCAGAGTCCTTAAAGGTTTGAAGATTTCTGAAAGGTGATGTAGAAAGAGAAAACAGGTAGATGAGGTCTTATGCAGCTGACAATCAAAGCTCTTAAAGCTGGGGTACTGCACTAGTTACTGCATGCATGAATTTCAGCTTTTTCAAGCTAAAAATTGAAAAAGAGAGGACCACTCAGCCAATCATCTCTCACCCCAACAAGTTAATGGAGAGTATGTAGAGTCCCCACATTGTCATCAAACCCTGAATTGTTCCATTATGCTGTGACTGATGGGTCCGCTCAGTTGACAAGCCTTAACATACTATCTAATCTTTACCTAGCCGTGTGTCCAAAGGCGTGTCCTTATTCTGCATGCGCATGTACTCCTGCATGGTTCAATGGCCGCTTTTCGGTCACAGCACGGCAATTTATTTGAATTTGTTTGCCTGACCATGAAGTCTTCATTAGGCAGTCGAAAAGCACAGCGAGCAGGGGGCTACAAGGTCGCCATCCTGCTGTCCAAATCAAGACGCTTCCCTCAATTTAGCTAGTCTTGAGGGAGCGCCACACACATTACAACGCACCCTTATAGACGCAGTATTGTATTCTGACAACCTCTGCTCCACTCTTATCCTCATGGCCCTAATCAGCTGTCCGACAGAGAAGAGCTGAAAAATAGCAATTAAGCTCCCGCAAGCCGACACGGAATGCAAAGCGACACTGAGTCTGTCATCAGTTATGCATTTTACAATAAATAAATGATGAAGAATGAGATTTGCAATTGATCTGTCTGTCACCGGATTCTGCACTGGTGGCAAAACGGGCCGCTGGAGTTTGAAAACGAAGCTGATTGCATATTCATCTGAGCTCATCATTAGAAGCATTCATACTAGGGCTATCATTGCACAGCGTTATTTGATCAATTCACTACAAACAGTCTTCCCAGACGGCTTTGTTGTATCTTTCTTTGCCTATTAAGCTGTTCATTAAAGAGCGGCCTTGCACGGGCTGGCTGCAACTGTGTATTATGCATGTGAGGCTGATTGCCACCGATATACAGGAGTGATTCTACACTCTATATGTTTGCATTCCCTGCCCATTAGCTGCGCTGTGTGGCACCGGAGATGCAGGATGCAGATCTGTTCCTGTCAAGGTTAATAAATGAACAAATCAAGGTGAGGTTGTCTCAATCCAGACACAAGGACACGCAGAGACGGGGATCAGACACCCAGCTGGTACCTCTGAAATTTTAATTAGGCCCTCTCTTTATTTCCCCTCCGCTGACAGACATTGTGGTCGAGTACTCCGACAATCTCCGGGACTATTTTCGCCTGCAATATTAGCTAAGCCAGTGATGAGATACTGGGGAGCTGTGGTTTTGGCTTTAAAGGCTTCTACCAGCGACTCGCGCTCAGTCCCCACACTCCTCTAAGCTGCACATGTTTTACGGCCCGGTCTCTTTCGTATTAAACTATACAATACCCAACTGTGTTCAATTAAAACAGACATGGATTTGTTAGTTTAAAGGGGGCCGTTCAATAGGAAAATGTAATAGTTAGATTTTTTTTCCTGTGGAGGGAGGGAGTATGTAGCAATAAAAATACATGTAGCTGAAAGAGTGCATGAGGAACATTCCAAACCAAGCAGCCAAGTAGGATAACCCTCAAAAGTAGACACATTATAATGCATTTTATAATTGAGTTTTTAATTGGTTAGCATAAGAAAAAAACATACCATGTTGTTTTAAGGAACCACTGTATTTTCTGTTTGCCGATTAAAAAGGTTGATTTTGAAGTTATGGCGAATGATCTTTGATATGAAGACCAGAATCTCCATCAATCTGAATCTCACAAACTGGCAAAAGAACAGGCAAAAAATGCCACTAACTTGTTATGCTCTGATGTACTGTATCCTCACAGTATGGTGTCATGGACAGAACTGTTTTTTGTGTTTTAAAACAAAAGTTTTTCCTCCAATTAGTTTAAAACATTTCTGCAGTCTGTGTGACTGTGTGTACATCAAACAAGTCTGTCATGTTTGATGTATAATGAACTAATTTCATTCTATGGAGGAGTTTGCACAAACTGACCATCAGATATCCCGTCATGCAAGTATGTATTTTCCAATTAAACATTGTTTAATATTCTATAACCTGAAATCCAGAACCCAGATAGAACCAAGATACACTCAAAATATGTATGATATTCTGGATGGAAGTGTCAAATTGAGAAGATGGGTTGAAGTATATATCATCTGCACTTGTAAGACATGACAGCTCTGATATCAGCGTGCAACTGGACAAATGAACATGCTAATTATTGGTTCTGGTCTGTGCAATGTCAGGCCTGACAGGAGCTCTGTATATTTGCATGTTAAAGCAGTGTCTATAGCAGTATGTTTTATAAACACACACAGTTTGTGCCAACGTGTGTGTGTGTGTGTGTGTGTGCGTGTGTGTGCGTTCTAACAAATCACATTTATTAGCCGCTCTTCCAGTGTGATGTGCCTTTATTGCTTTGGCACTTGTGGAGCGGATGTACAGAGTGAAAAAGCAGAAGGGATAGAGAATAGAAGCAAAGTATTCCGGGTTTGATCCAGTCTCTTTAGCTGAGGGTTAAATGGACAACATGAAGTAAGTTAAGTGCTGGAGCACTTAACTTACTATACTAACCATGTTAATATACTTATAGTGAAAGCAAAATGTTGATTGAAATTACATTTTGCAGAGGTGATCCTCTCTTTTTAACTTTTCAGTCTGAAAAAGCTGATCTAAAGATGTGACAGAGGTCACAATCCAGTGATAGGTGGAATAGGGAATGGGCCAATAAAGTTTTTTGATGCCAACATTCCGTTACCTGACCGACTGCTCTTGTGGCTTCCATAGACACATATGTGTCAATGTGTCACACGTGATCTCTGTGAGGTTGTTTGCAGGGGCATTACCCATCATAATGTGCACAGAATCTCAATTTTGAATATTCTGAGTCATGTATACATTTTGGCCAGCTTGATGCACATAGAACAAACAAATTCAAAGCAATTACCCTGATGATAGTTTAAGATACATCTTATATCCATACTAAGCAGGGCAGGGCCTGGTTAGTACTGTGATGGGAGACCTCTAGAAACACCAGGTGCCACAGTGGGCGGCTGCGGCTGTAAAGTTCCAAACTGTCGTTGTGTCCTTTGGCAAGACACTTCACCCACATTGCCTAGAATGAGTCTGATGTGTGTGTTTGTGTATGAATGGCTGGTGGTCAGAGGCGCCTATGGCACATACTGGTTGCCTCGCTTCTGTCAGTGTGCCCCAGGGCAGCTGTGGCTACAGTAGTAGTTTATCACCAAAGAGTATGGAGCGAAATAATAATGACATGTGAAGTGACTTTGGGAAAAGCACCAGTCCTGAAAAGCACTTTATAAAACCGATGCATTATCATTGTTATTAATGAAGTTGCCTATTTTTGGTCATCACCATCTCAGTTTGTTCGGTTTAAGGTACTATATATATATACAAACAGCTCTCAAATATTGTCTTAATTACCCAAAGCTGGCATCTAATGAAGCTTTATATCCTTCTCGCGTCCCTTGCGTAACGATCAGATCCCCAACTTGAAGCGAGCAGACGGCAGTAGAGACATTCTGTATTTTCACTCATCTGCGTCTATACAGAAGCAACCATTTCAGAACATCAATAATTCACTCAGCTTTAATCCCAACACACTCAGTCCAGAAAACCAAATGAGAGCTTCCCACGTACTTCAGCTTTTAAGAGCAGGCATAAATAAAAGACACACTTTGGATGAAAGATAGGATAAAGATTAGATAATGAACTCCAGGCATCATCAAAGAAGTCTGGCCCATGAATAAGTTATGGGGAATAAACACAAAATAAAATAAATAAATCTGGCTATTTGTAAAAAGCTTGCAGAATGGTTATATCTGAGTCAGATGAGAGGTTATTGATGCTTTTTTTGGTGGGTATGAAGAGCGACCAAGTCTTCTTTTTCAGAGTTTTCCAAAGTTTATCTTGAATGTCTTGTGTTGCATCATAACCGCTGCCAGACTGTCTCTCTTAGAAACACATCTCACTTTGTTTTATTTCTGAGCGACTGGGAAAAAGATCCTTTGTGCCATTATTCCAAGCAGCTGACACAGAAATCTCCCGATAGGCATTGATGTTTTGGGAGAGACAGAAAGCTCTTCCTCTTCAAACATCCCGGTGCCGGCGCTCGACAAAAGTCTCTGTGTGACGTTCCGTTGTCAAAATTTGGCCAGGCTTTGAAATGAGGAAATGCGTTTGCCAAATGGGGAAATTTGATCTGCTGAATTTCATCGAACACCTGTGACGCCGTGAGGAAAACACCATCTCGCCAAATTGAGCTGCATCACTTTTAGCCTGTAGCACGATTCTATTACAATAATTATTGCTGTTTTTATTGTTTTAGCTTAATGTCGCAATTGGAGCAGCTTGTATGTTTGATTTCTTGCAATTTCAAAGCAGATTGCAATGAAATGGCTTCAGTTTAAGTGCTTTAAATAAGTTGTTTTTATTTATTTTTTACTTTGATATTAAAGGGTATATCAGCAACTTAAAGCTGGTGGGGTTTCTTTTTCCGGTAATAATACATTTTACCATTGTCTAAACAAAGAGAGTCTTGTAATGAACATGTGAACAAATCAGACCACATCAAGGTGTATTTATCTTAGAATAACAAAATACATACAGCCGTGTAAGTCACTATTTGACGCTTTGGGTTGAGAGCTATATGGCTGATGGTGGCCCCCTTTTTAAATTTTCTGTCTGAAAAAGATGATCTTAAGATGTAACTGAGAACACAAATGTATGAATTTGAAAACTAGACAAAGAGCAAGGGACTAGTTACAGTTAATTTGTTTGTGATTTGAAAGTTAGATTATCAATATAGTATTTGACATATTTATTATATAATCATAATAACCTTTTCCCTGAGTATTCCAGTCATTAGGGGAGGTCTATAGGAAGTGGGCAAGGCACACTCCATTATTTATGGAAGTGTAATTATCTATGGTGTCACAAGCAGGCAGGAATTTACAGGACCCCGGTTCTGCATCAGCACAATGGCTATAGCAAGGTAATGAAGTGAACACACCTCTGGGCCTGCGCTGAGCTGCCTCACTGTCACCATAGTGCCGTTCTCTTATCTTAGAAAGTTAGTGGTCTCAGCCCATTTTGAAAGATCTAACCAAAGCTACTGCCATCAAATCCAAAAAAAGTACTGCAAGTGGACTACTTTGGATAAAAGTACATGTATATTCATAATTTTGAATCATACAACCAGTTAATGATTAGCAACTCTTAAATGAAGTGCCATGCAGACAAAATCCAGGATCTATGATTGAGAGGGGATACTGG